CATGGATATGGCTCAGTGTTTGCTATTTGAGAAAGGAATGCCAAAAAAGTTTTGGGCAGAGGCGGTAAATACAACTGTATTTTTGCTAAATAGGTTACCAACTAAAGTTTTAAAAGGAAAAATACATTTTGAAGCATGGTATGGTTTTAAGTCTTTGTTCTTAATTTTAAAATGTTTAGTTGTCTATGTTTCACTTGTGTACCAGATGTAAAACGAGAGAAGCTAGATCCAAATGCAGAATATGGAGTTTTTGTTGGTTATAGTAATGTCACAAAGGGTTATAGAATTTTTCAGTCTCTAACAGTTAAGTTGAAAGTATGCAGAGACGTGAAGTTTGATGAAAATGCTAGATGGAATTGGGACAAAAAATGAACCTGAAAATATTCAAGAAGAACCAGAAGAGCTTCTTGAAGATGAAAGAATTGATGATATTCCGGTAAGAGGTACAAGGTCACTTGCTGAAATTTATAAAAGGTGCAATGTAGCACTATTTGAACCTGCAGGGTATGATGAAGCTGCTAAAGACCCAAAATGGATTGCTGCAATGGAGGAGGAGATGAGAATGATTGAGAAAAACAAAACCTGGCAATTGTAGATCGGCCTGAACATAAGAGGACCATTGGTGTGAAGTGGGTTTACCGAACCAAACTCAATGCTGATGACTCTGTTAACAAGCATAAAGCAAGGCTGGTTGTGAAGGGTTATGCTCAACTATATGGTGTTGACTATTCAGAAACGTTTGCAACTGTGGCAAGGTTAGATACTATACGGTTCCTCTTAGCATTTGCAGCACAAAAACAATGGCGGATTTATCAACTTGATGTAAAGTCAGCCTTCCTAAACGGCTATCTAGAGGAAGAAATTTTTGTTGAGAAACCTGAAAGTTTTGCAACAAATTCAGGTAAGGTTTACTTGCTTAAGAAGGCTTTGTATGGCCTAAAACAGGCTCCAAGGGCATGGTATAGCAAAATTAATGAAGAATTGCAGAACATGGGGTTCAACAAGAGCAAGAGTGAATTAACCTTGTATATTAAAGTTGTTGATGATGATCTGATTGTTATATCACTATATGTTGATGACTTGTTTGTGACAGGAAGCAATGTGAAGCTAATATGAATTTAAGACTCAAATGATGCAAGCTTTTGAAAGACAGATCTAGGAGAAATGAGTTTTTTCCTAGGCGTGGAGGTTCAACAAACTCAAAATGGAATCTATATTAGACAGCAAAAATATGCTACGGAGCCACGGAGGTGTTGAAGAAATTCAACACAGAAAGCTGCAAGTCAGTAAGTACTCCTCTTTCTCAAAATGAAAAATTTAGCAAAGATGATGGTGCTGAGAAAGTTGATGAGACATCGTATAGGAGTATTATTGGATGCCTTATGTTCTTGACAGCAACAAGGCCTGATATAATGTTTCCTGTAAGTTTATTATCAAGATTTATGCATTGTGCTAGTGAGTTGCATTATAGCAAAGATGATTCTTAGGTATATAAAAGGGAACTCTAGACTATGGTTTGAAGTTTGAAAAAACAAAGAAGTTGTTTCTTCATGGTTATTCTGATAATGATTGGGAGGTTCATAAGACGATATGAGAAGTACATCCGGATATTTTTTCAGTTTTGGATCCAGTTGTTTTAGTTGGAGTTCAACAAAGCAGGACGTCGTGGCACAATCAATAGCTGAAGCTGGGTATGTTGCAGCAGCTTTAGCTGTTAATCAATCTCTTTGGTTAAGGAAGTTAATGTCTGATCTAAAGATGACCCAAGAGGAAGCAACAACAATTTTTATGGACAACCAGGCAGCCATAGCAATTTCAAGAAATCCAGTCTTTCATGGCAAGACTAAACACTTCAAAGTTAAGCTTTATTTTGTTAGAGAAGTTCAAAAAGCAAATGAAGTTAACTTGGTTCACTGCAGTACTGGTGTTCAACTAGCTGATATTCTGACAAAGGGATTGCCAAGATCAAGATTTGAAGTGTTGAGAGAGAAGATTGGAGTTTGCAGCAAAAATAGCAAGGAGGAGTGATAGAAAATGCTATATTTACTGCATATTAGTTTTATTTTGAATTAGTCTTTCATTATCTTGTTTTAATTCTAAGTTGTTGAGATATTTTAGAGTTGTTTGTTGAGTTATTTTCTCTGTTAATTGTGTATAAATTAGTAGAGATAGAACTATAGAAGGTAATAAACACATTCATTTTCCCCAGCAAACTTGAGTGTTTTAACACTAAATATCCAACATATATAGAGGGTGGTGAGAACGGTTATAACAGACTAATGCAAGCAAATTACAATGACACGCCTCTAGTTTTGTTCATCAACTTTCTCATCCTCCAACAACAAAATAAAAACCTTAGTATAGTTTGCATATGTAATTGATGGGCAACATTTATACTACGGGAAGGGCAATATATGTACCGCTTTAAAAATTGAGGGACAATGTTTACACCAATAATAATTCAGGAGTGACATTGATAATTGACATATTATGAAGGGACATAAATTACAATATTTACTTGTTTAGAAGTATGAGTTTTAATAAATTGTTTGAAAACACAGACAACCAGCTAAAGAAGAATTGAAAGGGTGAGCAAAGTTAAAACAGTCATATTCGATCATTTTGTTCACTATTGTTTTTGCTTTTGCTTTTGATTTATTTATTAAATTTTCATAACTTTTTATTTAATTTGAACCTTGTTATAAATAGATTTATGGTGGACATTAATAATAGTTTTGTAACGTTTGTAACGGATGTAACAGATGTAATTATCATTTATTATTATATGTCTTTATGGTATCTTGTCTATATATCATTGTACTATGATGAATGAGATATGAAGAGATATCCTCCTTTCTCCCTGGTCTATTCTGTATTTTATTTTAACAAACCTCAAAATAAACTCCCGAGTGTTTTGGTATCACTAATTTAAGGCTTTCAAAATCCTAAGTGAATATTTATAGGCATATATGTACATATTCGTCTTCTATTAGAATTTGACAATTTGTCGTTATGGCTATCATCATTTGCTTCTAATAATATATTTCAAATCCAAAGTTGAAATTTACTGATACTAGTTCAAACCTAGTTACATTTAGTTTTAATGTGCGACAAAAACTACTTAAAAGTCGTTAAAGTCCCATTTTCTCGACTTTATGTGTATAGTTTAAGAAATAATTTTTCATTCACTCATTATCTGTTTTGAGTGTATAAATATACGAAATTCATCTCATCCATAACGAGAATTCAAATAATCTACTTTTACTCAACCCAAAGCAATAATAAATCCCTTTTAAAATATTACCTCAAAGTGAATGTCATTTTATGCTAATATTTTAACACATGCAGAACAAAATAGTGGAGCTCCTATCTTGGATTATTATAGCACCAAGTTGGAGAAAGTGATGGAACACTAAGATTTAATAATATAATGGTGTTGCACTCTATTTCACCTAATTGAGTAGGTAGAGTTTTAGACTCTTTAAAGAATTGTACCCACTAATTATACATCACACCAAGTAATATCTCACATGCCCTCTGATCTACATGAACTCAAATCTCGCTACCAGTGCAACATGTTTGGATTTATCTCAATTAAAAAATTAAAAATAAAAAACAAAGTCAATTGAAATATGTTATTTTTAATTAAGGAGATTAATAACATTTTTTTATAGTAGTACTCTTGATTAAAAAACAAAATGAAAGAGTCAAACTTTAAAAAGTTTAGTTGAGGTTACCTCTAAATTTTCGCTCTCCCTGTGTCAAACTTTTTTTTTTTTTTTGGAAGAAAAAGTTAAAATTGTTGTCAACATGGAATTATTGCACTTAATTAGTTTCACTTACTCAATTGGTGGACTTGTACAATTTTTAAAGAATGTCATTTCTAGTTAAAACAGTGCTAGCAAAATTTGTTATTCGTTTTTTTTTTTTTTGAAGATAAATATCAATTTGAGTAGAGATGGTAATATTTAATATAGCACTACATGAAATTATTAGCAAATTTTGTTAAACAAGTCACACTTTACTTAATTTACGTGTTTTAGTTCTTCAAGTATTTGTGACCAATCGTTATGCCATGGAACCGTGTTCACCATCCATGGTGAACATGGTCTCAACGGTAACGGTGCACTGTTATTATTATTTTTTTTTAGTTATTATTTTTTTTTAACCACACGACTTTTCTTCTTCATTTTCACATTTTGCGGTTTCACTTCCTCTTCGCGCAAGTTTCTTCAACATTCATAAATTATGAATGTGCAGGCATGGATTTATGAATGTGCAGTTATGAAATTATGAATTTTCTGTTATGAAATTATGAATTTTCTGTTAACAGAAAATTCATAATTACATAACTGTAAATTCATAATCTCATAACAGAAAATTCATAATCTGAACAAACGCGCGCCGTTAATAGTACATTAACTAAAAAAAATTTTCCGTAAAAATGACACCGTTTGGACCCGTGTTCACCATTCATGGTGAACACGTTTTCAGGGCATAATTTGCGATTTGTGACTCGAGAGTTTGCGAGGCCCAGGAAATGTGATGAGGGCAAATTATTGTTGGCTCATAGTCTACAAAGTGTTCTGTGGATCATAACAAAAAGTACATTTTTAATATATTAGAAATGGACTTTAAAAAAAATGTACATTCAATACTCAAATAATGTACATCTTTTGAATATAATGTATATTTTTAATATACTAAAAGTACATTATTTATGTACTGAATATACATTATTCGATATTATGGTCCACATAGCTGTAAAGACCATGGTCCATACAATAATGATTGATCTGGACAGGTTCAAGTGGAGATAGTATACAAAGTTTTCATATTGACAATGATTTGCGGCTCAATCAAGATTCTATTGGTTACTCAATCAATAACTATTTGATGAGTTCAAAAAAAGAAATTCAAAATGAAAGAATGGCCCCTACTCTTGAATTATTGCACTGAGATGAGTCATCATCATCTTATCTTCAATATTCATCTTATCTTCAATCTTCATCTTCATCTTCATTTTCCTTCAATTCACAGAAACAAACTCCGATAAACAACTCTCTTTCTCATTTACATTACACCTACACAGAGCTAGCTAGAGACAGTGAGAGAAGAATGGCCTGTGTGGTTGTACTTTCTCTTATGAGGACGCTAGAGCTTGAGTTCTTGCAACCTCTGCCTCGTCCAATTCTACAACAAAATAAACTACTCATCCCTCGCAACATAGAGTTGATCCAGTCTCTCCATGGAAAGCTCCAATCTCTTATTGAGTTATTTGATGAGAATAGGATGGATGGTGTGGAGGCAATTAAAATCTTGGAAACCAGACTCAGAGATGTAGCTTTCAGAGTAGAAGATGAAATTGAACTCCAAGTAGTACATCTTTATCAGGAAGAGGAAAGGGATACTTGGGGTCCTCGGGGATGCTCAATGCTTTGCCGAATTTTTCATCCGCCAAAGGGAAATCCAAGGGAGTATAATGATGTAGTGGAGAGAACTTGTCCTTCTCAGTCACTTGGTTATATATTGCAACAAGCAATACAAGACATTGATGCCATCAAAGAAGAGCTGGTGAAAGTGAAGGAGGAGTATGAGCTTTCCAAAGATCTACACGGAAGAAATGCTGCCCTTGATGTTTTACCAAAGCCTGCAGATGATGAAGTTATCACGATGGCTCATTCTTCCCACCATGCTTCACATTCCCAGGAAATAATGGTCGGAAAACAAGATGAGTTTGAGATTATAAAGGAGAAGCTAATCCAACATCCCTCCCAACAGCTAGAAGTTGTCTCGATTAAAGGTATGGGAGGTATTGGTAAGACAACATTAGCAAAGAAAATTTATAAAGATCCATCAATCACTTCCTACTTTGATATGCGAGCATGGACTGTCGCATCACAGTATCACAATAAGAGGCAAATGCTCTTAGATCTTCTTGGTTTCAAAGACGACGATGCAGACAAAAGCAGTGATGGGGACCTAGCATTACTACTCAAAAAAAGTTTCAAGAAGTGTCAAAGGTACTTGGTTGTGATGGATCCGTATGGAGTGTAGAGGCATGGTATGATGTCAAAGCTTGCTTTCCTGATGATGAAAATGGTAGTAGAGTATTGTTGACAACTCGCCTTGGTGAGGTGGCTAATCATATCTGCTCCAAAGATTACTTTTCTCATCAAATGCAATTGTTAGGACAAAGTGAGGGTTGGAAACTATTTAATGAAAAGGCATGTAAATCTCGCGGTGCTGAATTTGAAACAAGTGAATTTGAAACAATTGGGAGACCGGTAGTTGAAAAATGCAAAGGATTGCCTCTGGCAATTATTGTGGTTGCAGGCCTTTTTTCGAAACTCAACACTCTAGAGGAGTGGAAAAATACTGCCAATGCTCTAAGTTTTTCTTCAACAACTACTCTAGATGATGAAGAATGTTCGAGAATACTCTCATTGAGTTATAATCATTTGACCCACAACTTGAAAGCTTGTTTCTTATACTTGGGAGTTTTTCCAGAAGATCACAAGATCCATGCTAATAATCTTGGAAGGTTATGGCTTGCCGAAGGACTCGTAAAGGCATTTGAGAATGAAGAGTTTGATGCAGTGGCTAACAGGTACATGCTAGAACTTATGGATAGAAACCTAATCATTTTAAGCCAGCTAAGCCCTTGTGGAAGAAAAATTAAGAGCTTTAGGATGCATGATTTATTGCATGCCTTTTGTGTGAGAGAAGCTCAAAAGGAGAACCTTTTGCATGTTGTCCTGAGTGAAAATAGGTCTGATTTCCCTCAGAAAGGCTTTCGTTGGGTAAGCATCCAATCTGTAAACTTTGACATGTCTACAATACGTTCTCAATCAAAAAGCTGGAAGTCGTTTTTGTATTTTTTGTTGGAGGAATCATCTTTGGAGTTCAATGATTTCAATCTATTAAGAGTACTCTACTCCAGTACTAAGTCCATGAAGGTTATGGTCCTTACGGATATTGTCCATTTGAGATTGCTAATACTGAAACAAAATATAAAACTGTCCAGAGCTAGGGGATTCCTAAAGCCAAGGTGTAGAAAGGGTATAGAATTGTCCAGGTCTTGGAATCTTCAAACACTTCTTTGTTCCAAAGTCGTATCATATAGATCAGATGATGGAGGGAACTATTCGGAGTTTCCACAACTACAGTATATTCGTTGTTATGATGGCTTTATTCATGGAAATCCTCCCAGTTTTGTTCATAAACTTTTTAGGATAAGAGTTGATGATTGCACACAAGAATACATTAAGAATATTCCATTCTTAAAAAAGGTAGGCATTGTTTGTGAAGGCAGAGACGATTACAATGGTTGCATTACGAACCTTGCCTCTTCAGAGCAGCTTGAGGGACTTCATTTTGGTGGTACTGAGTTTTACATACATAGTCAATTTACTAATCATATTGTTCTCCTGAAAAATCTTAGGACGTTGTCATTATTTTTTGTGGTATTTGATTCCGATGGAATTGATATTCTTAGCAAGTTGCCTAGGCTTGAGGTCCTCAAGTTAAAATATATTGGATTCCGAGGTGCACAGTGGAAAATACAAGAGGAAGTGATATTTTGCCAGTTAATATTTTTGGAAATTTTTTGCACTCCTCTCGAGCATTGGGAAGCTAGTAGTCATAATTTCCCAAAACTTGAGCACCTATATATTAGGTTTTGCTATAAATTGAGAGAGATCCCAATTGACTTTGCTGAAATTTCAACATTGAAGTCAATCAAATTAAGGGAGTGTCTTCATTCTGCTGTGGAATCAGCCAAAAAAATTCTGGACGAACAACGTGACTATGGAAACAACGATATGGTTGTTATCAAGAAAGAAACATTAAATGTATGTCACCCTTTCTCTTTTTGAATTGTATTTTTTCAACTTGTGCAAAGCAGATTTAATTAAATCCAATGAGTCATGACAGGTTTCGGAATCTGAGGAAAGCCTGAGTGAAGAAGAGCCAGATCAGAAGTGGATAACTGATAATTGATACCTTGTATTCACTTTTAGGCAGAAGACAACAATGGTATGTTTTCAAGAAAACAGAGTTTTTTAATTACATACATACATATAGAATTGATTCATGCATTTGTCACAGAACAGGCGACAACATTATTTTACAAGAAGATGTTTTAATTACATAGATTATTTTCACTGTTGGTCTGCATAGAGAGAGCCAATGTGTAATGCTAGTTTTCACTTGCTAGTCCAGTATAGTACAGGGACTTCTCATAGCAGCACAACAGTCTTCTTTTAATTAATTAATGCTTCTTCTAGAGTACATACACTTCATACTATATTTTCACTCCTGTGGCTATATATAATTCCACAAATTAAATTAAATTGAAATGAAATTGGTTACGGAAGTAGTACATTATGTTATATTATATTCCCAATTGAAATGGCTTCAGGTAATATTTGGAAGCTTTTAATGTGTTGGCTCAAAGGCAAAGAGCTGAACAAATCTGATGGGAAGAGAGAGAGAGAGTATTGTAGCCCCGCCCGGACGGCCAGGCGTTTGTAGAAACTCATTCAAGAATCCAATGCTTGCAAGAATTCATGGAGAATGAATATATGCATGCATGTATATATGCTATCTATTTCTTGGAGTTTAGTTGTTGGAATCGTATCAGACAATCACAAAACTCTGAGGAGTGCTCAAACTTCATGTCTTGTATTTTAGTACTGAATTGGAAGCTTAAAACTTTACAATACTCTTGAAGCTTAGATTTGCAATGTGTGTGTGTGTGTGTTTTTGATGCATACATATTGTTGGAGTTGATGATGAGTGTTAACAAACTAATGAAGAAGATTGCTTTGCTTAAAGAAAGCATCCCAGTGGTTGGTTTTGGCATTTCAGCTTTAATTTGCTTTTATAATAGATGTAATGTACTTAGTTTTTGAATCATGCATGATGTATGTGCAATGCAATACTGAGTTCTACTTTCTATCCCTATATATATTCATACTTAGTTCACTTGTAATATTGTATGTTTAGTAGCTAGTTGGAAACTAACTTGAAGACTTGTTAGACAATAGTAGTATTCTATTGGAATTTGGCAATTTGTCGTCGTGCGCGTGTCCTTTGCTTCTATCTAGCTTGCTTATGTATTAAGTTATATTTTGTTTATCGTTTGGGAACCGACAACCGAGCAACTCATGAATTAGCTAGAGTGTTCCGTCCTTGTATTGAGTGACAGTACTGAGTGGTTTGGCTCTCCAGCTCCTTTCCTTTATGATGTTCTATCTTTGAATATTTATGAATGAAGGTGCTTTTGGCTTTCAAGAAAGGAAAAGAAAATCAACTGTTATGGATGTTTTTGCCAATTGAGCCGGTCTTTCCAATCAAATAACTATAACCTAAGCACATATCAAATTAATAATAGGAATAAGGGTCAAATAGGCTACTGAACTGCACATCAAAGTGCAATTAGGCCATCGAACTAAAAAACAATGCAATTGGGTCACTAAACTACACAAAATCATACAATTAGGTTTAAAATGACCTATTGACCTAAATTGTGCTGACGTTGGCGGTTACAATTTTAAAAATAAATTTTAAATATAATTTTAAAAAAAATTAATTAAAAAAAAAAAAAACTAGAACTGCCGGAGACGAATCGTCTTCGTCTCCATGGCCGGAGACGAAACACTTCTTCTCCGGCCATGGAGACGAAGAGCTTTGCCTCCGGCCATGGAGACGAAGGTTCGTCTCCCTAGCCATGGAGACGAAAGACTGCCGGAGACGATTCGTCTCCGGCAGTTTTTTTTTAATTATATAATTTTAATTAATTTTTTTTAATTTTAAAATATATTTATAAATTATTTTTAAAATTGGTAATCTGTATTTCAGGTAAACAGGTCATTTTGGACCTAATTGCATGATTTTGTGTAGTTCAGGGACCCAATTGCATTGTTTATGAGTTCGATGGCCTAATTGCACTTTGGTGTGCAGTTCAGTGGCCTATTTGACCCTTTTTCCTTAATAATATAACAAATTCACCATGGACTACAAAACTACAAATTTCAAGTAGTGTATCTTAGAAACCTTGAAACATCTTACTCTTCAATTCTTATATAATATTTCTTCCTTATATATATATATATATATATATATATATATATATATATATATATATATATATATATATATATATATATATATATATAGGGAAGGGATCAGGTGCATTTGTTGCTTCTCGTGCGAATGTGCGGTGGATTAATGTGCGTGAGGTTTATACTTAATGTGCGTGAGATTTGTACTCAATGTGCTTGAGATTTGTACTTAATGTGCGTCATGTTAATATGCGTGAGTTTTGTACTTAATGTGCCTGAGTATTGTACTTAATGTGCGTGAGATTTGTGCTTAATGTGCGTGAGTAGTTCATAATTACGAGCTCAGAAGGAAGCAGAACAGAAAGCTCACGCACATTAACGCCCAAGCTTCTTGTTACTTCTTCCTTCAATTTGGCCATGGATTCTGGATTATCAGCTACCTTCAGTGCAGTTGAATGTTTATATAAATGACGCACGCACAGTAAAATTTGCACAGTAGCTAAGTGTGGATTTCTGTTGTATTATTCCCATAATTCTTAACCACCATAGCCCGCCTCCGCATCATCATCATCAGGGAGGGGGCAAATGGCCACTGGGGATGGGGAAGAAGCTGACATCAATATTTTCTGCTGCATTTTACACATTCACTCACATTAAGTATAAATCTCAGGCACATTAAGTACAAATCTCAGGCACATTAAGCACAACACTCACGCACATTGTGTACAAATCTCACGCACATTAATCCACCGCACATCCGTACAGGAAGCAACAAATGCACGGGAACCTTTCACTATATATATATATATATATATATATATATATATATATATATATATATATATATATATATATATATATATATATATATATATATATATATATATAGTCAGGTTCATGTGAGGTCAGGTGTTCCCGTGCGGTCAGTGCGGCATACACTATGCATAAATGCACCACACAGTGTTCGTAAATACACCATTATGTGTGGTGTATTTTGTTTTGTGTGGTGCATTTTTTTGGCATTTAATTCTGGTGTATTTTCGAATACTGTATGGTGCATTTATACATATCTATATGGTGTATGCCGCACGGACCGCACGGGAAGACCTATCCTCACAGGAACCAAAATCTATATATATATATATATATATATATATATATATATATATATATATATATATATATATATATATATATGTATGTATAGGGAAGGGATCATGTGCATTTGTGGCTTCCCGCGCGGTTGTGCGGTTGATTAATTTGCGTGAGTCGTGTGCTTAATGTGCGTGAGTTTTGTACTTAATGTGCCTGAGTATTGTGCTTAATGTGCGTGAGATTTGTGCTTAATGTGCGTGAGTAGTTCATAATTACGAGCTCAGAAGGAAGCAGAACAGAAAGCTCACGCACATTAACGCCCAAGCTTCTTGTTACTTCTTCCTTCAATTTGGCCATGGATTCTGGATTATCAGCTACCTTCAGTGCAGTTGAATGTTTATATAGATGACGCATGCACAACAAAATTTGCACACCAACTAAGTGTGGATTTCTGTTGTATTATTCCCCTAATTCTTAACCACCATAGACGCCTCCTCATCATCATCATCCGGGAGGGGGCAATGGCTACTGGGGATGGGGAAGAAGCTGACATCCATATTTTCTGCTGCATTTACACATTCACGCACATTAAGTACAAATCTCAGGCACATTAAACACAATACTCACGCACATTGAGTACAAACCTTACGCACATTAATCAACCGCACAACCGCACGGGAAGCATTCAATGGCACGGAAATATTACACTATATATATATATATATATATATATATATATATATATATATATATATATATATTCATAATGAGGTGAGCCCAACCTTAACCAAGCTACGAACTACGAACTTGTAAAGGATTGCACCTTAATCAAAATAAATCTCATCCATGCATCTTAAAAATTGGAAGACCACAATTGGTTCTTAAGTACTCATATTAAGATGATTCCTATAGGATTAAAAGTCTGGGGGCACGCTCAAGTGAGAATTGTGGTCCAAGAAAAAACTAAAAACCAATCGATTCACATGTCTAGATTAATGAAGGTGTTTTCGGCTTTCAAAAAAAAAAAATCAATTGTTATGGATATTTTTGCTCTTTGAAGAACCCGGTCTTTCCAATCTAATAACTATGACCGAATATCAAATTAATAATATAACAAATTCTCCATGGACTACAAAACTACAAATTTCAAGTAGTGTATCTTAGAAACCTTGAAACATCTTACTCTCCAATTCTTATATAATATTTCTTATATATATATATATATATATATATATATATATATATATATATATATATATATATAGGGTCAAGTTCCTGTGAGGTCAGGTCTTCCCGTGCGGTCAGTGCGGCATACACTATTAGGTATGTATAAATGCACCACACAGTGTTCGTAAATACACTATTATGTGTGGTGTATTTTTTTTTTTTTTTGTGTGATGTATTTCTTGGCATTTCATTCTGGTGTATTTTCAAACAGTATATGGTGCATTTATACATACCTAATGGTGTATGCCGCACTGACCGCACGGGAAGACCTGACCTCACAGGAACCAATATATATATATATATATATATGAGGTGAAAACCATCCTTAACCTATCTACGAACTACGATATATATATAAAGACATCATTGTCTAACAAATATATATACTATGTAAGAAATGCAACTGAATTCAAATAAAAATGTTTTAAAATAAAATGTCTTGATTATTCTTCACTTGAGGTAGTTGATGGAGATGCATTGCTTAGCATATTTTGAAGCTCTTAATTGCTTGCCAAGTGAGCAAAAATTTGCTTGATTACAACAACTTGTTTCTTTAAAGCTGCTTGTGCGATTTCTTTAAATTTTGCAACTTCTTCTTCTAAATTCTTTTCACGGTTCATTGAAACTTCTATTTCTGCTTGAAGAAGAATCTTCTCCTGGACTTTTGAAGTTATCCCCTTAAAACCTAAACCACGTGCATAACTTGACTTTCTTTTTAATACCAAATCAAAGTGATCAACAAGTGGTAGAGGTGCAGCTGAAATCTTTTCTTTATTCTTCTCTCCCTCTTCTTGAAGTTTATTCTGCAATTAAGATAAATATTAATAATTGAGTAAATTAATTTAAGAAATGTCACAACAGGAAATATATACTTTTATATATATATATATATATATATATATATATATATATATATATATATATATATATATATATATATATATATATATATATATATATATATATATATATCTAAAAACATAATAAGTGTGAATTAAAGTTATACCCCTGATTTATGTCCGTTTTTTCCGTTAAGTTTTTTTTGTACATTATGCTATAAAGGTTGTACATTAAAATATTTTGGACAAACATACCTCCACCGTTATAACTTCCGTTATCTTTTCCACTATTGTTACCATGCACATGCATCCACCATATATTTTCTTACCTTCTTCATTAATAATAATATATACACATTATATATTTGAGTTATATGAGTTATATGTTAATTATTACATAAAATATAAATATCAAATGTATAAAAATGATTTACATTATTATTATTATTATTATTATTTAGAATAATTTAAATATCTAAAATCTAAATAAATTTAAATTTTTAATATAATGTATTAATATTGGGCTATATATATATATATATATATATATATATATATATATATATATATATATATATATATATATATATATATATATATGTCATTCAA